GCATTTTCAATCCATTTTGGTGCACCTAAATTTGATACAATCCTGACCCTTAGATCTCACAATCTAATGCACCAGATTCATTCTAATTTCTTTCATAAGATCGCATTCTCACTTGAACCAAAATCTATATATACATTTAGTTGAATAATAACTAATAGATAATGACCAATGGTTCTACATTGGAAAATAAAAAATATGGTCCTATATTGAGAAAGTTATTATTATGTTTTAGTTCTATTTAAGTAAATTACCCATGTTATTAAGTATGTAGGTTTTGAGCACATGACCAACTTGCTCTCTTGTTAAGTTATCCACCATCCATGCTACAATCCCTTTTGTTACATCTAGACAGTATTAGTTATATACTCCCTCCGTCCCATAATGTTTTACACATTTACTATTACGGTCTATTGATATATAACTCTTACTCCCTCCGACCCAAAAAGTCATTCCCGTTTCAAAAAAATTATGTTCCTAAAAGTCATTCCCAATTCTATTAAAAAACCACTTTTACCTCTTACTTTTTCATACCCTATCTATTACATCATATTTTTATCCCAATAATCTATACATCAAATCCTACTTTTACCCATCACATCAAGGGTATTTTTGAAAAGTCAACACAAAATTATCCCTCCATATTTTACTACTTTAGCCAAACCGTCCCTATCTTTATGGGATGGAGAGAGTATTTGTTTGTGTGTTTTCATTGATCATTTAATAAAATAAAATATTCTTATCACCCCTTGTTTTGTGGAGTCTTCGATATACTTTTTAAATATAACTTTTTTATTTTATATTTCTTTACCAATGTGTAAATAAGATCATTTTAAAATTCACGAGGTTTTGCACATTGATTGAAATGGGTAAAACATTATGGGACGGAGGGAGTATTACATTCTTAAAAATATACAATTATACATATTCTTAAAAGACTTTTTTATTTTTAAAATTTTTTATAATATAATGTTAAAACTGTGACTCAAACTCTAAAATATTGATGCAATTGATTCTAATATGAACTTCATATTAGAAAATTATTAACTTTTTCAAATATTTTTCAAAAAATATTCTAAAAACTCTGGAAGTAATTCAACCAAACATCACAATAGAAGTTTTGAAAAAGATCATTAGAAAGTACTTTCTGGAAAGGCAAAAGCAACTTATCAAAAACTCTTGCTGGATGCTTCTACAATTTACTCCATTTGTCGCATAGAAAATGTTATTTTTCGCAACTTGTACAAGAATATAGGTATATTTACACCTCTCAATGAAATACGAGTAATAAAAAAAATAGTCGACGAGCGTTGCGCAGTTGGCAAAGGCAGGAAGTGCCAAGAGGTAGACACGAATTTGATTCCTGACAACTAAATACAAGGTCTCTACAAGTACTAGGTGCAGGCTCTATTCTCTACCACCAATCTGCAATCAAAATCAAATATACCTCTTCTCAGTGACCGTCCGGCCAGGTCTCAAGAGCCCTCGGGGATAGGGCTTTCCTTTCCCAAAAAAAAAAGTAATCTGAAAAGATGGTGTACCCAAAACTTATCCCTACTAAAAAAATTGAAGTAGAGATGTTTCCCAGAGACTATGGGTTCAAATACAAAAGCAAATATAGGAATTCTGCATTCATCATAATTGTTTTTCACTACTACTACTACTTTTTCTTTTTCCAACCCCCCCCACCCCCAAAACTCCCAAAGCCCCTCAGAAAAATATGATTAAAAAATAAACACAAGTGTTGAACTGAAAAAGTGATCTCTTCTTGCAGAAGAAAATGACCCTTACTTTAAGATGGAATAAACGATTAACACCATCTCAAGTTAAGAATTCATTCCCTCCAATAAAAGAAAACCAGTAACTTACCAATGGAAAAAAAATTACTTTTGCTTCAGCTAAACTACTACTGACTGCAACTTTATTTCTTTTTCTTATTGACAATGTGGCCAAAGAGCAGATTCCAATGGCTTCCTGCTTCTTCTGGAGTTCGAAAAGTCCAGATGTGAGGCTTCTTTATGTTCCCCTATTTGAACAAAATGCCACAAATTAGCATTTACAGTGCAATATATCAATGTTTGGTGAAATATATGGCTGATCAACCAAAAAAGTTACTTACCAAATGGGCACAAATAGACCACTTTCAGTTGATGGTAATTCGCAAGAATATCACTTTTTTTAATGGAGGTTTGTCATTCTCCATGAGAATATTGTTTTTTTTTAAAGTATACTCTCAATGTTCTCTTGGATTCTTGACACATTGCCTGAAGCTATTTTAAATTCATTTTATTTACGTATTAGTGTAAAATTGAAAATTAATTTTCAAAAAATACACCGTATACATTTTGAATCTACAAAAAAAGTTCTACAAAACTAGAGGTGACTTTGTAATTTTAACAAATGATAGATGAAAATATGTTAAGAAAGAAATTCTAATTTGACCTATGAATAGTAATTGTAAAGATCCCACAGAAATGGTAAGAGCAAAACATTATGCCATACCCATTGTACACTACTTAGTCGGAATTGGAAGGACTAGCTCACACCCGGTACCTGAAAGGGATGCATTTTGATACCTTGGTTCAATCATTCAGGCAGACGGAGAGATAGATGGGATGTTCATCGTCTTGGAAATGTTTGGGGCTTTGGGCAAAGTGGGCAAAGTGGGAGCTATGTGCATTTTGCGACAAGATTTCGCTCGAGTTTTATCGGACAATAGTTAACTGAGAAGAGTGTTAGGGGGTGAAGCAAACTCAGATCCTTTAAGTGGACGTGTAGTCATACGGGTATGGATAAGATCCGGAACAAGATTATTCAAGAAAAGGTGGGAGTGACACATGTGGAGAATAAAATGCGAGAAGCTAAACTGGAGTGATTTAGGCACGCAAAGAGTAGAAGTGCAAAAGCCCCAATGAGTATATGCGAGAGGCTTGCGATAGTGACGGTGAGAAGGGGAGGGGTAGACTTAGGAAAAGTTAAAAGGAGGTGACTAGACATGACTTACGAGTTAAGGATCTTACCAAGGATATGACCATAGATAAGAATATTTGGAGATCTAGGGTTAAAGTAGTTGGCTTGACCTATGAAACTTCAATTCATTTATAGTTATGGTTGTGCGTTTTTACTTTAGTTTGTGACTTCTGCATGTATGCTTTGGGTATGGTTGCTAAAGTCGGTATGTGTGCTTCAATCTTGTCTTTGTGCTCTTACTTTGTCATGCTAGTGTGTTTGCATTGTCTATGCTTCTGTGTCTTAGTCGAATATCTTAAAATTAGGTTCTCTACTTCCATGCACGGATAAGGTTATAAGGTATGAGCACACACATCCTCTTGAGACTACTTTTTGTGAGATGTTACTGGGTTTGTTGTTTTTCTTGTTGTATCCATTGTACACAACACAGTCGATAATAGTGCGAAGAGTAAACAACCGATGGGAGCAAACAAAACTCCCACACCAAAAAAAATGAATTGAACCAAAATAAATAAGTTCAACTAACTCATTAGTGTGAGGCTTTTTGAACGTTGCCCAAAAACAAATTCATAATAACTTGGTTTAAAGCGGACAATATCATAATGCGAGTTGGAGTGAGGGTACACATAGTATCAAAGCCTAACTTCGTAGTAAACAGGAGTGACATGATTGCGTTGTTGTGTGAGGGGTTGTCGGAGTTCTCAGAGTTCTCGGTGTGATCAAAACTCTTCCAATAATGAGAAGGTCGGACAAGGGGTGCGAAGTTGTAGCGGTGGTGTAAGATGGTTGGCATATCAAAATGAATTATTGTTAGAGGAGAGGTCACAAGTTGTGTGGTCATTAGTTTGAGAAGTTTGTTGGGATTAATGAAAACACCCACGCCACAAAAAAAGGAATTGAACCAAAATGAATAGGTTCAACCCAACCCATTGGTATAACGCCTTTTGAAAGGTACCAATAACAAATCCGTGAAGGCTTGATACAAAGCAGGCAATATCATACTAATACGGGATTGGGACGAGGGTACACACAATCCCAACAACAACATAGTAAGGTCCTAGAAGTGAGGTTTTGAGAGGGTCGATGTACATCAAACTTACTCCTACCTCAAAAAAAAGTAAAGAGGTAGCTTTTGAGAGACCCTTAGCTCAAACAAACATGATGGCATGTTAGAATGATCAAGTACTTTGTATAAAAGACAAAAACAAATACTTCTTTTGCCTTGTTGATTTCTTTATGCACGGGTTACAATGCTTGACCGATTTTAACTTCAACTCAACAACAACATTACTCTTGTGCCACACAAGCTCCCGCCGATTTTAAAACATAGTGCGGCTTTTTCCATATATGACCCATGATAAGCGTTCAAAAGTATCATTTACTAACTACTACTTGCCTATTTCACTATAAAAAGAAGCGCAAACAGTTTAAAGAGTCATTTTGTTTTATTCCATCATAGCCCAAAGTAAAAAATAGTGAATTTTCGGCTCCATTAGAAATGATGAAAATAACCGATGTTAACTTCTAATCATTTTATTTAAAAATTGGTGTAAAGTTAAATAATACAGAGTACAATTTATATTCAGAGTATTTAACAACTACTCCGTTTATCACAAGGTTTACAACGCACAAGCCAGCAAGCATGACCATATCATTTTTTGAAAATATGTTGAGAGAAAAAAAATTAGTCCAACCATTGAATAGTAAGTCTAAAATTCAGCAAGACAGAGGGAGTATAAGCAACTACTAGTACAAAAAGAAAGGATGGGTTAATATCAGCAAACAAATTCTAAAATAAACAAGCCCTTGCAAAGCTACCATCACAAAGACTAGAAAAATTAAGAACACTGAAAGGTTCTCAACATACCTCCACCTTTTTGGATCTCAAGCAGTCAGAAAGAGCACTCCATTTATCATAGCAATTGTCAAGAACCCCAACTCTATAGTACTGCTTCATCTGATGGACCGGAGCTGCAAAGTCATGATTCATCATTGAAATAAACATTCATGAGATTACCAAAAAAGAAAAAACAATACACACATTTTGGCACTTTTTGAATTCTCATGTTCCGTTTACTTCTACCATTAGTGATGCACGGGTAAGCCAGAAAATTAGGTAAGCTATGAATCTAATATAGTTGTTCAGCTGCTCCATCATCCATCCACTATTCCACTCCTACCCTCTAAACTGATATTGCATAGGCCTATAAACAAACTACTAGTAACAAGAAACAGGTCAAGATATCAGAAGCATACCAAACACCAAAATGGAACTCTATAAAAAGGGAGATTCATTTTTTTTTGTCAAACCCCCAAACCAGAAGCAAAAACGTATGTTTTGCTATTTGCATAATTAAAAGGCCCATTCAGTAACTGGAAATTGGAAACCATTCTTCCACCACTTATCTACGAACCACTATAATTACTCTGGTGCAACCAACTACTGCAATGTAACAATTGTCCATCGACCTCCAAGGATTTGTTTCTTTCAACTGAGACAGATTTACTAAACTAAAAAGTTTTGAACTGAACTGAAACTATAATTTAGGATTAATTGGTAGCTAAAAGGTATTGAACAAAACTAAACTGGAAAGAATATTGAACTGAATAAGTTGAAAAGATCAGGCCTAAATACTGGTTGCACCACTACCGCTATCTATCTATCATCATGCACCCTATGCTCATCAGCTAACAATGCTAATCATCAATATAATTATTGAGATCGTAACTCCTTAAATTTTTGTTTGTTTCCAAAACTTTCAAATAAGCTCTTACACTTTATCTATTATCCCCCCCCTCCAATAATTTTTTTTTTGTTTCCTTCTTGGACGTACAAAAATGGTCTCATTTTTTGACGAATTCACTTCTTTTTACTTAAAAAATACTTTTTTTGACCCAACAACGTACATATATATACTTTCCTCCTTCCCAAATGGTCTCGTTTTCTATTTCATAGAGTTCAAGAAAAAGTATAAATGTGTAGTTGAGATTCATGCAGATGAAATAGAAACAGTGTGAGCCCTTAAATGCTTTCCTATAAAGGATTGTGAACTTTATTTTGGGACAGAGGGAGTATATTTTACTTCACTTTTCCTGAACCCAAAAAGTTAGTTAAGTGCATTTCGATAATTTTCTTTCACACTTAATATTCACAAGAGAACACCAATTTAGGATAGAGGAGTGCTTGTATTATCTTTTTAACCTGGACTCCAGTGTGTAACAAGAGTTTCAACAGAATTAAACACAACAATAAAGTCCTATACTAATACAATAATTAAAGCCAACCCATAACGGGTAACACAATTGCTAAATACGAGTAGATGGTTGTTTGGTAATCTTCAAATAAATAGTCGAACTATTTTCTCCCAAAATGTCATAAGGTGTAGGCCTCCTTAGGCTCAAAGGGCAACTTTGAACATTGAATTTACTGAGTATACAAAAGGTAGTATTCATATTACTCATAAATTTTAGAAATCATCTTGGATTAAATTACATTTTTAAGTAGCTTAATACATTCAAAGATTTCATTTTTGTACTCAAAATTAGTTATCTATGCGTGATATATTTGTCGAGCACTTAGTGTCTAATAAGCATATAAGTGGTATATGAGGCAATATGGACATCAAACTAAATAGTGTAAGCATATGTCATATGCAATACTCCACATAAAATAAGACGCAATGGAGTTCTATGTTAAATAGTGCGTGTACATCTTATTGACTCTTTTAGTTCATCAGCAGCAGCAACACCTTAATAGAAACTACATTGGTTGGTGGCATGAAATTTACAGTCCCAAGTAACAATTTTTTTTATTATGACAGAGGCCCTTCTTGTCGCAACCTTCTTACAAAGCAACAATTAGATAAAACTCCAAACATGTCTTTCTACTTCATCGGAAACATTGTAAGACAATTACAAGTTGAAACAAGTGTTATTAACATGTCAGTAATGATTAGTTAATCACATTATTGATACTACAAAATCGATATGCAAAACATGGAATTGATAGTTGAGCAGAGTTTTATTCATTTGTTGTTAACAAAATGTTTTTCTGAATCCTGTCATAGTGTCATTGCATGTTTTTTCATTGACAAGATTAACAATTTCAATTGAAAATAACAGAGTCCAGATTCAGAGCATTTTATACGAATTATAGTGCAAAGTCCAGAAATAGTGTAAAGTGTACACAATTTTATAGAACCCTAACCATTCCATAGCTACCAATTGCAATTAAGATGCTAAATTTGGATTACCAAAGCGGAATGGTTGGATGCAGACAATAAATTTTCGTCAAAAATGAAATGTATATAGCTCGTCTGTTTACACTTCCGGGTTTCAAATCCGTAAGCCATAATTCGAAGAAAAAAAAAGTTGGAAGAAAAGAAATCAATGATGAAGATGAATAGAGTGAGGAAGAGGAAAAAGCATACAGTAGCAGGAAAGAAGATCTCTGAAGCAGGCGGCGCAAGGCCGCCGTTGTTTCTCCATTGGAAAAATTCTCCGAGTCCTGTTTTCGTATTCCTTCCTATCACAATTTCTACCTCTTCAATCTTCTCCTTCCTCACAGTCACACAATTTCTACCTCTAACGTATAGGTTTTTACTATCCCTTCCAAATTAAATAGGGAGTAATTGTTTACAATTCTAGGATCAAATTTTATTTTTCTTTTCCAATTTTGTTAGTCATTTCATAAAATATTATAGTCATGTTACTGTTAGTTTTATAAATCTTTTTATGTAATTTTAAATAGTGTATGTATTCTTTTTCTAATCCTACACCATTTTTCATATAAAATAATTTGAAAATAATTTCAGTCAAACATCGTAAATCAAAACAAGCAGTTTAAATTAGGACAGATAAAGTATTACAGAGTACTACTTATACTATATTACTTATTCTTATTGAAATCAATTTAGATCGGATTAAATCAGATCAGAGACATATAAATATAGAGTCCTCCTTTGAAATTTTAAAAATTTACTTTTTAAATATGTATTTTTATTAAATAATTTCATTCCAATTATTATATAAAACAAATTAAAAATAATTTCAGTCAAATATCGTAATAGAAAAAATTTGTGAATATAGGGAATATTTATTATAAACTTTCATACACTAATAAACTTTCTGTAAAATTAATTAAAATTCAGTATTTTATATTTTTAATAAGAGATGTAATTAAGATAAAGAATTGAAATTGTCAGATCTTACGAAGAAGAAATTTCGCTGGATAGTAAGCGTAAGATGGTAAGCATATTTCCTAGAATAAGAAATTGTAGACCTGATCTTGCACAAGATAGTAAGCATAGCGAATCTCTTTTTGGGGTGGACAAGAATCTTGATCTCATTGTCTCGTTGTGAAACATTTCCTACTTTGTCCATATACAGTATAATATTTCATTTTGTTTAAGATGACAAAAGTTTGACAGTCAAATAAGTTTTAAAAAATTTGCCTTCGTTCTAATATAAATTTTTCATTCTTTTAAAAATAATTCTCAAATTGGTCTTTTTCCAATAAGGTGTTTATCCAAATAAGTTTTATAGTTCTAAAATATTGGCTACTCTTTTACTCCGTATCAAAGTAGGAAGCCATTTTAAAAACTTCTATTTGTTAGGAGAGAGTTGTTTTAATTAGACTTCTAGAGCTATTATAGGCCAAGGCCATCCCAAAACAATCCCCTTAATTACTTACTGTGATTAAAAATTAGTGAGCCGGGAAGACACCATAGGATTAAATATGTTAAGTTATGATTAAGTACACACAAATTATGTACTCCCTCCGTCTCACAAACACTTTTCTTTTTTCTTGTCCCACAAAGTTTTTTTTCTTTCCAATACAAAACTATATATTATTCATAAGAGACTAGCTAGTGTTGTTTGATCTTCCCAATTTAATCCTTTTATTTTCTCTCAACATCCTTGAACCAATATAGTGTAAAGGTTTGAACTTATCTTAAGTCGCTTCATCATTTGTGTCCTATGATATGATTATTTGTGCTTCACATAGATAGAGGAAGCATCTCTATTCAGTCTAAAAACTACATATTGTCTATATTTTGATCATTTTGATGTGTCTTTGATACATGAAGAGTTAATGCTTATGTTTTACACGTAAAAACATGGCTAGCATTTGTGACACATGCAATTGCCAAAATCCATGTGAATTGTAGGTGACATGAAACATTACAAGCACTATATCGTGTAATCTTCCAATTTCGTGTATAAGAATTTTCATTACAAAATATTAACTGCTACTCGCATCGTCTCAAAATGATTTCCACTTTTTCTTTTTCAACAGTCACGTGAACTTTTATTTATTTGTACATTTTTATTGATTGTTTGATAAAATAAAATGTTCTTGACACCACTTATTATTTGAAGCATTTTCCATTGATTTTTAAATATGTAAATTTTATTTTTTATTTATATTCCAATTTTTAAATAAAATGAATTGAAAAAAACTTAATATTTACCTCGTTATTATAAATGTGATAAACATTTAGGGACACAGAGAGTATGTTATACTCCTTCCATCCCAAAAAGATTGGTACATATTGACTTTTTGGGAAATTAAGGAAGAGATATTTTGGTGTTGACTTTTCAAAAATAGCCTTGATGTGATGGGTAAAAGTAGGATGTGATGGGTAGATTATTAGAAAACAGGTATGATGTGATAGGTATGGTATGAAAAAGTAAGGGGTAAAAGTGGTTTATTTATAGAAATGTAACGGACTTTACGAGACGCAATTTTTTCGAAACGTGTCAGACTTTTTGGGACGGAGGGAGTATATTCTACGTTGATGCTAATGTCTACAATATTAAAAATCGAATTAGAAATATATTTTTAATCCAAAAAAAATTACTCCAAAAAACATTTTTTGAATCGATACAGATTTTGTTCGAACTCGTGCATGGCATGCTGGCACGGGCCAAAATACTATTTAACAATAAAAAAAGCAATAAGTAATAAATTAGAAATGGGAGATCACATGTTCGATTTCTAGTGCGGGTAGTAACTTTACTCATAATAGGTTAATTCGGAATGTATGAACATATACTACTACCTCCGTCCCAGAGTATTTGTTCACTTTCATTTTTGCACACCATCCAATACACTTCTTTAATCCATTTTATCTTGTAATTTGTATATTAAAAAATTATAGAAATTATATATTAATAATCTATATGTTAAGACAAATCAAACAAGATCACACATGACTATATTTAGGCTTACACATTGAGAGAATTTGATGAGTCAAAGTACTTAGATGAACAGTTTCAAAAGTCAAAAGTGGACGAATATAGCGGGACGGAGGGAGTATATTCTAAGAGAGTTATTGATATTTAAAAAATAATTAAAAAATTAGTGATTGAATTTCATTATAAAATTGAAATATAAAATGAGAATATGCGTTCTTAAAGAATAACAATAAAGTCGTTCACAATAGGAGATGACATAACTACGTAAAGAGGACGAGTTTTAAGAAACAGAGTGAGTATATTCTAAGAGAGTTATTGATAAAATTGAAATATAAAATGTGAATACGTGTTCTTAAAGAATAACAATAAAGTCGTTCACAATAGGAGATGACATAACTACGTAAATGAATTCTAATACAAATCAATCGAACCGATTCAAATCCGAAGATGTGACGAATGGATTACTAGTAAAAAAAGAAAAATTGTTTTAAGAAAGTGAAGAGATAGTTTATATAGATAGGCATTTGGGGTTGGCTGATCATATTAGAATTAAGTAGGTAGAACATGTACCGTAGTCCCCTATGAAATTCTTGGTTTGAAAATTGAAGGTGAGAGGGGAGCATCGGACCTCTATCCGGGGACGCTTCGATTCCTCCTCCTCCTCCTGATTAAACCCGGCCCGAAACTTCATGGTTAAGATCATGTCGCAGGATGCTGTGTCCTCTGGGAGAGCCCAGTTTTGCACCGACCAAAGGGAGCGGAGACGACGTGATCTGGCGGCTGAACCCCTCACAGTAAAGGGTCACCTGGGTTGTGTTGCCGTAGAAGATTGTCTTTTTCCTGTTCGGGTTGTGGGCCTTGAGGGTGAATCTCAAGTCCGCTGTCAAGAGGTTCCCGGCGACGGTGGCTTCCGGCGACGATGCGGCGCTCGTGACGGAGTACTGCGGCCTCGGCGTCCTCTTATGGTTCTTCGCGTGGTCGAGAGCATCTCTAACAACGGTGGCATAAGAATTTGACGTGTCACATATGTCATCTTGAATACTTGGCAAGTGGCATTTTAAAGTGACAATTTAACCAAATTTACACTCTTCAATTATTTTACTTTTTCAATCTTTTTGAGAATGATAATTACTTCCTCCGTCCCACTATATTTGTTCACTTTCATTTTTGCACACCATCCAATACACTTCTTTAATCAATTTTATCTTGTAATTTGTATATTAAAAAATTATAGAAGTTATATACTCCGTATTAATAATCTATATGTTAAGACAAATCAAACAAGATCACGGATGACTATATTTAGGCTTACACATTGAGAGAATTTGATGAGTCAAAGTGCTTAGATAAACAGTTCCAAAAGTCAAAAGTGGACGAATATAGTGGGACAGAGGGAGTATTTATTTTGAACTCATAACTCAAAATTCAAAATTAAATTTTTTTCCCCTAGAATTTATTATTTTTGATAAATCTTTTACTATAATATTTGAGACTTATATCTCTAATATATTGACATGTGTCATCCTATATGACAAATTTTAAAAAACATGGCACAAGAATAAATTACGTGGCATGCTTTAAATTCTCATTCATCATTTATGAAAAATCATTTATGATATCCTTTTAAATTTGAAGAGTTTAAAAATTAAAATAACATATTGTATATCAAAAAAATCATGGACTTCTGAACTTACAAAAATTTTTATAAATGAAATAAAAAAGTTCAGGATCGGAAATGGATATGAGAGGAGGATATATAATCCCTCCCTACCTAAAAATATGAGATATTTTGATTTTTAAGTAATTTAAGAAAAATATATTTTGGTATGATGGGTAAAGCAGGATTGGATAGGTATGTGATAGGTAAGTTAATAATTGATAGGGGTACAAATGTTTTTTAATAGAAATGAGAAAATTTTTTTTTGACAAATATAATGAAAAAAGAAAAAGGAAAGGTTTTCATGGACGGAGAGAGTATGATGTACGACTTCCATCCGAGAGTATGATGTACAACATCTCATTATCAATAAATTTTGTGAATTTTAATAATGAGAGTAATATTTTTGGGATAGATGGAGTATATGTTTGACCTTTGGAATCTTACTACCTTAGGTTTGGCTTTTTATCTTTTCAATTCATTCTAGAGTGCTTTTATGGTGCATCTTGGATACATACTATTTTTGTGAATCTTATCACATAAAAAATAGTTTTTTTTATTCTGTATAAAAATAAAACGGATACTTATCTAAGTAGTAAAGAAATGCTTATTTAGCTCATATGCTAGTTCATGGTGGATCTTAAGTCCACCATAGAATTTGTCTTCATTCTTATAT